CCCCCCCCCCCCCCCCCCCCCGTGTTTCTTCATGACTGAAGTTGCTACTGTTGTGGGAGTATCTTCCGCTCCGTCAGCCAATAGCCGCTGAAATACCAGCCCATTGGGCGCGTGGTATATTTCTCTTTTAAAAAGAGCCACAGATCCAGGCCCTCTTGGTTCCGGCAGGCGCTTGGTCCCGGCTCCTGCTCCAGCGACTAGGCTCCCTTCCTGACGGTTTATGGTGTGTGTAAGTTTTACCCCCCAAAATAAATAACCCCTTAAAACATAACTGGTGTGGGATTGATTCGCCGATATTTGGTGCCCAGCGTTTGGTTTAAGAACCGCCCCACCCCCCCACCCCTAGCTCGGCCTCTGGCTTGGCTACCTGCCGCCAGCTCGGCTTGGCCAGCTCGGCTTGGCCAGCTCGGCTTGGCCAGCTCGGCTTGACCAGCTCGGCTTAGCACGAGCCCTCCCTCAACCATAACCTTCACACCTCCCAGGATACACAGGTCCGGACAGTCTCTGCCGGCTTACTTTGCCCTGTTCGGCACGGATTTTTAAATTTTTCCTTGCAACGTGAGTCAACTTCACCCAGAATTAGTTGTCATGCTACCAAGTTTTGCAGTTCCGTGGCTAATATCCCTTTGTCAGAACAGATCAGTGGTGCAGCCTTGTTGGCTATAGCAGTCAGTAGTACCTCTCAAATTTAAGGCTCTTCCTTTGACCTTTGTCCTGAAGCATGACTGGCATATGCTTTCTGAGTACAGTCATACTTGTATTTTGAAAAGTATACCTCCTGGGTTTTTGCTTTTTAGGGTTATTTGGTGCTTAAGTCAGAGCCTGGTACATGCTGGGCAAGTTTTCTACTGCTGACCAGACCCTCACTGGGGACTTTCGGCAGGTGCTTTACTTATGTGCCACATCCCTGGCCCCTCACTGGGGTGTTATGCTCTACCATACCTTTCTTTCTTTCCTCTATTTTTACCATGTGTTTCTGTTTTTGTTTTTGTGCTTTTGTTATTATTTTGAGACAAATTCTCATCAACCCACACAGGCCTTGAACTTGAAATTCTCCTGCCTCATCTTCCTGAGCAGCTGGGATTGCAAGCAAGTTTTTCCAGGCTTGGTTTATCTCTTTCTCTTTCTCTCTCTCTTTTTAAAATCACACTTACTATATAGTACCAAGTGCAAGTAGTTGACCTTTGTCCTACACACTTCCAGTGATGCAACCATAGTTTAGTAACTGACACTGGCACATTACCCATTTAAGCCTCATAGAAATGCCGATTTGTGTGCCTATGTTCATAGGTGAGAATGAACATCACAGAGAGCTGAGGCAACTGGCTCATAGCTCCTTGACTCTTGGGAGCTGCTAGCTGGTTTTTAGTACTTGTCTTCATCAGGATGCTAACAGCACAGATAACAATAGCAGCTGGTATTTCCTGAGTGTTACAGTATACTGGGTACCAAGATTTCAAACATTCTGACACCTTCTTTAACCTTTACAGCCCATTGCTCAGTCCCATAAGCTAAGGCCCAGGTCAAGAAAGAGGAAGAGACTAGGGAATCGCTTGTCAGCTTATTGCAGTTGGAGCCCTACAGAACCTGCCATCCCCCACCCCCATGACTGTTCTCTCCTACAGGTGGACAAAGAAAAAGGGATCTCCCTTCGTTTCCCTCGGTTCATTCGTGTCCGTGGAGATAAGCAGCCAGAGCAAGCCACTACCAGTGACCAGGTGAGGCCCTGCGAAGGGGGTTGGTTCTTGCCAGGAGCCATAGAGGTAAGAGTAGCTGGGAGGAGCTGCTGATACCCTCTACCCTTTCCTCAGGTGGCCTGTTTATACCGGAAGCAGAGTCAGATTCAGAACCAGCAAAGCTCAGACTTGGACTCCGACTCTGAGGACTGCTATTAACCCCCTGGCCTCCTGGGCCTGGAGTGGAGATTGAGGGAACCTGGGTACTGTTTGCTTGGTGGTGTTGACTGGTGTGTGTGGGGAAATAGGGGTGGGATACTGGTACTGGGATGCTTCATTTTCTTAAATAAATGACTATTAAATACCTGCTCTGTGAGGAGGTCTACACTGAGCTCTGTGGCATTACTCTGTGAGCTCACACGGTATAGTATATGACGTGCCAGGTGCTGCATAGGTTCCCAGTTCCCTACAGTCTGGTAGCCTCCAGCCACTCAACACATGGCCATTATCACCCAAGTCCTAAGACTAGAAGAGCTCATTGTATTGTAAATAGCCACATGTCGTTAGTGCTAATCATTTAATAGCAGTAGTTAAGAGCCTTCATGTCTTAACTTTGAACTCCCGGTACTCTGGCAGGTTGACAGGGTCATGCTCTCTTCTGCAAATATAGATGAGGACATTGAAACTGCTAGGGGCCACCAAGCACCCTGGTCAGGAGCACCAGCACTTATGGCTTCAATCCAGTGGCCTGGCTGGCAGTCAGTCACATATCTTCCTAACACTGTCTCTTGGGAGACAGTGGTTTGCAGTCCCAGGTGTGTGGTTCCAGTGTGTGTCACCTACCATCTTATCACCAGGCATCACCTTAGAATCTGCAATTGAGCATTTTCGTTATCAATCCACAAGATCAGGAAGTGACCAACTGCTTTGCTCATGGCTATGCCCTGAACATAATGTCTTGTGTATGACAGGTGCTCAGAAGAACTAGATGAGTGCCAGCTTCCTTTGACACATGACCAGAGACTAGGCATCACTGCTAATTGTCCTGCAGTGTCCCTTTCCTTTTCTCTTGTGCTTCAGGAGGGACTGTGGTCCTCACAGAGGTGTAGATAGCTCTAGCCTGTCTTGTCCTTGAAGGTCACCTAAGGCTGGAAAAGAGAGAGACATGTTATAGAATTTAGGCAGATGTGAAAGAAAGACTTCTAAGATGAGAGGGAGAATCTTCTAGAAAGCCCTGCTTTTCTGAGATGGTTCCAGAAAGAACTGGGCTCTGGCATCTTTCTAGGGACCTGCAGCAGCTAGGTCTCTGATCACCAACTGGAGGAGACATATCCAGGTCTGCACAGCTAGAGCCATTCTCTTGGGACGCAGTGAATGAAACCTGTCGTAGTTGAGTTTTCTATTGCTGTGATAAAACACCATGACCAAAACAACTTCAGAAGAAAAGGGTTTATTTTAGCTTATAGTTTCACTTCATTATCACTGAGGGAAGTCATGGTTGGAACCTGGAGGCAGGAACTGATGCAGAGGCTACAGAGAAGTGCTGCCTACTGGCTTGCTCCCCATGACTTGCATGACCTGTTTTTCTTCTCCTTCCTTCCTTCCTTCCTTCCTTCCTTCCTTCCTTCCTTCCTTCCTTCCTTCCTTCCTTCCTTCCTCCCTCTCTCCCTGCCTCCCATCCTTCTTTCCTTTTTTTCTTTTTGTGTTTTGAGACAGGGTTTCTCTGTGTAACAGTCCTCGTTGTCCTGTAGACCAGGCTGGCTTCGAATTCACAGATATCCACCTGCCTCTGTCTTAGTGCTGGGATTAAAGGCATGCGCCCCCAGTGCCCGACTTTGACCTGTTTTCTTATAGCACCTAGAACTACCAGCCCATGGGTGGCACTGCCCATAGTGAGCAGGTCTTCTCACATCAATCGTCAAATAAGAAAGTGCCCTACAGATTTGCTTACAGGCAACCTAATGGAAGCATTTTGTCAAGATTTCATCTTCCCTACCTTGTGTCAAGTTGACACAACTCTGCCTTCACAAAGCCCTTTAAAAGCAGTTGTCCTGGGCAGGGAGATGGCTTAGTAAAGTGCTTGCTGTGTAAGCATGAAGATCTAAGTCCAGTCTGCCCCAGAACTCACAATTAAAAAAAAGGTCAGGCATAGTAGTATGTGACTATAATGCTAGCACAGAGGCAATAATGACAGCAGGATCCCTGTGGCTCATGGATCAGCCAGTCCAGCTGCATTGCCAAGCTCTAGATTAAGTGAAAGACGAGACCCACCTCAAAAACTAATGTGGAGTGTGATTAGGAAGATACCTGATACTAACTTTGAGCATACAAAGCACACACATATACCTGCACACCCATGTGAATACACCAATAGGAGCATGTACATACACACAAAAACAATTGTCTTTGTGGTCTTCTGTTGGCTACAGTTGGCATCCTGCCTGGGCTGTTAAAAGAGTTAAATAAGGTGAAGCAAGAAGGAGCTTGAAGCACAGGGGTTAATGTTCCCTGGCTAGCATAGTACTCGTGGGATCTAGTTGTGTGAAGCCTGAACCAAGTGGCTTTTTGCCTTCCTGCCTTGCCATTGATTTTCCTCTCATTCTCACCAGTGAGCCCCTCTAGTTTATAAATAATTTGCATTTAACAGGTGGAAATTCTGAGTGATGGGGGAGGGCTGAGACAGGATTTAGCTAGGGCTCTCACAGTAAGTATGCCATGAGGACCTCACGCACACCCGTAAGAATATGGAACGTACTACGATCAAGTCTGCTAGGAAGGAATCATGCTGATGTCTAGAGTATGTGGACACTGAAGAAACAAGCCTGGAGTTAGGTGAGCAGTGGGTTCAAGAATCTTTCCCCAGAGAGTGAAATCCTGCTCATCTTAAAAGTTGTCACAGGCCTGTCTAGGTGGAAAGACTATAGAACAGGGATTTGGGTATATGTCAAAGAGTCACATGGTGAGGTTGAAGAACTGGAAGCGGCACCCCCAATTCAAGATGAATCAGAATGACCAGATCTCAGTCACGTGATAACACCTGCTACAAAGGTTACTGGGAAGGAGTTTTTAAACCACCCAATTGTGACTGGAACTCACCACATTTTTCCATATGGACACGAAATGAGTCAAACTTTGTCTTAAATGTCTTATGCATGACTTTACCCACCCCCTCCCATGAGCTATTCTATTGGTTCATGTTGGAGCCCACAAGACCCTACAGTGAATACACAGCTGACAGACAAATAGGCAGGTCCACGGAAAGTATATATGTACATGTCCACATGGAATAACCCGTTTTGCAGAGCTGTAGAAACTCTTGTCTCTTGGAAATGTCCCTGTCATATCTGTGGAAACCTTGTGAAGCCATGATTCTTCCCTTTGACATGGGGTTTGTTCCCAAAGCACCTCAGCAGTGTGACTTCTACACAGGCAATGGAGCAACCTTGCTCCATTCCTCCATGCCAAGAGGCCTTGGAGCGATGGCGTTCACTCTTTGCTCTAACAGTAAAATTTACATAGACTCAATCACACAAAATTACCTGCTAACAGACCACATAGAAATGTCTATAGAAGACAGGACTGAGCAGCTGAGCAGGAAGGCAGCATGCCCCACCTTTGCTAACAAATCTGGGCATCTCCAAAGCTGGTTATCACAAAAGAGACTAGATGAGAATGGGTGAATCCAGAATTCAGGGAAGTTTAGTAACTATCTAATGGTTTGGAATGTCAGGTACTTCCCCTTGAATGCTGGCTCTTCCCTGGGTTGGGTCACCTGTTCAAGAGTACAGCTTTGTCAGATTCTACCTGCTCTCTTTATAATTTTGATATGCATATTATCATTGTTTTTGCCTATGGAATTTCCCAGCTATGTCTGTAAAAACTAGAAACCTCATGGAGATCAGCACTTACTCTTTATTATCCTCACTACTTCTTTTCTATTTCTTCCCCTTATTCTTCTCCATACCTCTTCACTTTCTCCCCTCGCATGAAAAATAGAGAACATGCAGAGGTAATGTACTTGAGTTAATTTTTTATCCTTAGTTCCTTGCCTGCCATAGATATCCAGTTCTGAGCCCTGAGGGGTACTGAGGCACGTAATCAAGGTTCCCCCTCATAGGTACAGTTATTTTCTATGTCTTTTAGTAAAAGAAAATCTTAGCCATACCAGGATACTGTAGGAACTCCTTCAGCCAGTAGCCTTTAAGTTACCAGTTCACTTGGGCGTGGCCTCTAATTTAAATGCTGATATAAAGTGCACGCTTCCTCTCTCTTCTGGCTGCTGGATTTGATTGCTGTTCCTGAGCAGAGGACTGTGATCTGCGAGTCTACCCCTGAATAAATAACCCTTTATTATACTCAATTCTGAGCTAGCGTGGGATTTCTTTTTAGTGTCCGTCTTCATCTGGTGCCCCATGTGGATTCCAAGTCTACACCTACTGGATGGACTGGTCCAAAAGGTCCAGAGGTCCACGGCCCAGATGGTCTCCCATCCCTGGTCGCCCGGCTTGCTTTCACCTACAAAGTGGGCTTTTTGTAAAATCCCACTACAGCGGAGCTAAGCCTGGTGACTTGGAAATTTCCCAGGTTCCCTCTTTCACGCACATCCCCCTTACCCCTCTCAGCTTCTGGTTTGCTGATTTGTGCTCCCTGCTTGTAAGTTCTAGGCTTCTTGCACTGTATGTGGAATTGATTTAATTGCTTTTACTTGTCAAGCAAAGCATATTTGTCAGGCACCTAGGCTGAAAACCAAAGCGACACAAGACTGTTCGTGTAGCCACCAGTTGCACTGTCATCAGTCGCAACCGCGACACCTGCTGGGCAATAAAGATTATTACACCTAAATTTACCAAATCTCATAACAAAGGTAACTATTTGATTAATAAATAAATCAGAAAGTTATGTAATGGCTGACAATTACCATGTAAAAATTTAATAACCTTTTTGCTGATGCTATGGAGTGTATTCTACAGGACTTTTATGGTTTTGTGATATTTATTGAATATTGGCACTCAGTTTTTTTTTTCTTCATATTATATCCTTAAGAAAATGGTTTGATAACAAAGCCAAGAATGAGGGACTTTTAGAAATGATGCAGTCTTTACAGACTAATAATGAAAAGCTAGCTGACAGGATTAATACCATTGAAAATCAAAAGTTATCTGAAAAAAAATACTGTTGAAAAGAATAACATTAATTTGACAGTCAAAATTCAATCCATGCCAAAGAGTACTGAGAAATTATCTGAAAGAATTCATACAATTGAATTTGACAGTCAAAATCTGTTCAAAAGTTATGATAGGTTAGCACACTATCCAAATAATATCCAAGGATGAGATGTTATCTTTAAAGGAAAAACTTTAGACCTTGGAATCACATGTGTAGAATGAGAAC